AACGTGGGTATGGTAACAGTTATGTTGAAAACATACCATCAGAAACAAACATTGATTCCCAAATGTGCAACATCCAGTTGACAGAGTGAAGATTCGTTTTATTGAGTGCCAGAATGCTGAACGAGAAAGACGAAACACGAGATTGTAATTTACCAGGTAAAATTGAAAGTACGAAAGAAAGGTTTAATTTTGAGTGATTCTTTAGAAAGGTGTTTATCAAGTCTTTTCAACAAAATTAAGAATTGTAAATTCACAGATCAGCAGGGAATACGAACTTTGAATGAGGACGAAGATGAACATACCGCCGAGAGGAGCTCAATATCTACACCAGAAAAGATAACGTGTGATTCACCTGAAAGAAACGCATCAGTTCATAAATACGAGTAAGAAATGTCATTACTTTGAAATCAAATTAAAATAATGCGAATTTTATTAATTTAATTATTTTGCTCGAGGTTTTCATAATTGTATTTACATTTGCCGGGACCAAACCGTGCGTTTCGGTTTCGTCAGTATCTTGTGGGTAGAAGGAAAACAAACGGATATAGTATGTAAACCAAAGACATACTTGATGTAGGAACTGAAACACCAAGCTATAAATTAGTACAGTTGGGAAATAATGTTTGTAGTATGAACAATATATGCTTCCTACCTGCTACTCCTCCCACCCCTCAGATCTTCTTTCCAATTACTCATAACAGATGTGGAACGCACAGATTTTTCCCTACTGGGAAAGAGGGAGGGGGGAGAGGAAGACTATCACTGTATCCAAGTACCATGCAATGAAGGTATATTATGTTGTGGAGAAATGTTTCCTACATTCTTAATCTCTACAATAAATTTAATTTGGTAGCTTCATGCTCCTACTGCCTCTATATAGTTATCAATTAAAAGGAGATTGTGTGGGTCTCAGAACCACTCTGTATGTAATGGTACAAATAGAATGTCAGCTCTTCTATTGGACAGTGACCCTGGCTGTCCAGCTCATTTTATTTTTATCACAATTATCAGTCTGTGTGAAAAACATTCATGATTCATACCTGTGTTTATCTGTGTATACCTGTTGGTTCACCTGAGTACATTTTATATAAATTGTATTAAATATGCCATTTCAATTCATTCTTTTTTGTATACACTTAAAAGGTGCATGAAGCATAGTTCCTTAACAAAATGCAACATATTCCTGTGTACATATTTTATTAACAGGTTTTAATTTTTATGGCAAAAATACCATTATATTAGGTTGCTGTCATTGTTTTTTGTAACTTTCACTAGATAACTTTTAATATGAAAATGATCTTAGTAGATTCAAATATATGGATACCCCTGTAGTAGTCAAATGGTATTAGAGAAAATTATTTAGAGTGCCTCTATGATCTGATGAAACCTTTCAAGATGGTTAGTGTCTCAGTTTTTTTTAATTTTTTATAAATGCTATTAAAATGTTCTTGTGTTTTATGACATTTGAAATTTAATTCAAGTCTTCCAGATGGAAATTTTCTAACATAGCCATCACTTTAGGAACATACAAGGTGTAAAAAATATTCAGTGATACCAGTTAATAAGCTCATAATCATTACATCACCATATTTACATAAGATTATGTTCAGTTTCTATTTCCAATGAATTCTACAATCTATATCATATTTGTCTGTTGACTGATAACTTTGTTGACTATTGACAATAAAACTGATAAAGATTTTGGCTGCTGTCTTGAGTACAAGAGAATGAAAGAATTCATGTTTATATGTTATACACTGAAGCAACATACATCTATATGCTTTTTAACTACAGACTTATTTTGAACTTTGCCTACAGTTAACATAGCAGATGTGACAAAGTAAGCACATGATAATTAAAATTTCAATTTTTTGTAGTAAACATGTGGTTAACAGCATACCTGCTCCAGATATTGGAAGCTCCGAGTACAGCCAACTGAGACTAAATATTCTGCTCTAAATACAGACTGATAAATGTGAGGAAATAATTTACAGAATGCTCTTGCTTCTACCCAACTTTCTATTCATAAGTACTATTAAATGAAAGAAACAATACTTTCCCTTCTCTCTATATATATTTTAAAAGGTCCCTGAATTCTGTGACCAGAATTTGCTCAGCAAATTCTAGTTGTAAAAATTAAGCTTCATTTTGGTACTGGAACTTTTGAAAGTTTAAATATCTTTGTAATTTCATTACAAGTTAATACTTATGTTTTATACCATAAATGTTTGCAAATTGCTATAATTTTTACAGACAATTTGCACATTGATCTTATTAATGTTCTTTTGTAAGAAATAATGTTGACAAGTTAGTGTTATGCTAGATGGTTATCAATTATAACCTGTGATGCAGGATACTGTTATATTAGAGAAGAGTAGTACTGTGCATCTGGATTGATAGTGACTTCAAACTATTTTTGAATATCGTATTTCAGAGAAGAATGGGCTCAGCTGTACAGGAGAGATGATCCAGATCTTGGTGAACTTCGTCGTCGTGCTGTTCTGGGAAATCTCAGAGCCTCTCGCTTTCGCAGTGTGTGTTGGCGTTGTCTTCTTGGAGTTTTCTCACCTGACACAACTCAGTGGCTTAGCCAGCTTCGACAGCAACGTCACCATTATGCAGAAGTTCTCAAAGAACTGTCTCTTGATCCATGGCACAGGAGTCAACCTGAAGACAACCCTCTGTCCCAGAAAGCTGAAGTAAGTCTATGTGGATTGTGGTAGCATGATGACTCTAAAAAGGAAGCATGCATTTTCCTGTCCTTTATATTTTACCTGGTTTTATGGACACACAATGTAGGTTTTAAACTCTGCAGAACAACTTTTGCTTTTACATAGAAATGTATAACCAGTCTTCTACAGTGGCAGTGTTATGTGCTGTATACCTTTTATTTCTCAGTAAGCTATGGTTTAATTTGCTCTTGTAAAAATGCACTGAAGCGGTTGTTGTGAATAAAAAACAATAGGTTTTTCTTAACTTCAGAGCATCTGGCACCAGTATTTTTGTGATAAGGAGCTGCAGGCTGTTATAAGACAGGATGTGATAAGGACCTTCCCTGGAGTAGACTTCTTCAGGAAGGAGATGATTCAAGATGCAATGGTCAACATCTTATTCTGCTATGCTCGTGAGAATCCTGCAATGTGCTACCGACAGGTCAGAGTTTCATATAAACGAGGTTTAGCTTATAAATATCCATGCAGAAGAAGTTAAGATGCCAGACTTCTGACAATTCACAAGGTCCATTACTTCCTTTTTCAGGTAAATACTGTGTTATCAACTTAATGTCACAATGTTCTTATGTTACAGGAAAATATTCATAACTCCTACTGATGCTAATAATGTTTTTCATAATGATTCTGTAAAAGGAAATTTTATTTTTTGTGGTGGTTATTTTAAAAGTAATGCACACTGCCCATGTGTGGAAAGCTGATCATTTAGGTCAAGGTTGGTGAACTATCAAGCGATTTTGGCTGGCAGTAGTAATTACGTGTTTTGTCTTGCACTCTATGGCTGGGTATTCACGGATCACTTGGTGGCAACATGGAGTGGTTGACACTAGTGGTCATTGCTGTTACTGTTTGTCAAACACTAGAATTGTCAATTTCAAGATGGTCTCAGTTCAAGAAGCACTAATTCTGCCATTAACAATTTACCATAAGTTACAAAAGAGAGATAACTCAAAAGTCTGCTCCATACCTGTATGATGATGGCAAACAACTTCCCAGCTGCAGCATTAATTTCTTCTGTTATGTCAACTGCACATCCTCTCCTGCTATCTCTTCATCTTGGTTGGTCTTGTTACTGCTTCAATGCTAATTCTAAATGAATGTAAAGTTCATAGACGTGTATGTATATATAGAACAAATTAATATACCAATTCAGTTTTTTTCTCTAGTTGTTTTATGTTGGAGAAATTGACAAAATTGTAATATAATTTCTTCCCAAGCATTGTACTGATAAATTTTGATGTTGTATTGTTCGCTACTGCCCACTACATGACTGGTTAGGCTTCAATTTCAGAAATGAAATCTTTGGTATAAACTAATTTCATGTTGGTGAATTTTCAATAGACGGCAGGTGGTGACTGGAAAGTGTCTCGAAGGAATGTGATCATTTAAAACAATGGTCTGCTTCATGATCTTGACACCAAGTGGTCCATGTATAATGAGTCTAAATGCCAAAATTAAGAGATATAATATTAGCTGCTTAAGAAGCACTTATTATCCACACAACTTTCTACTTTGCATTACTTTTAATGCTAAATCCACTTCCATTCCAAGCTCAGTTCCTCATACAACATGATATTCAAGTGCATGGAAATATCATGTGATCTGTATACACCGATCACCTGCTAATCAGTAACTCTCTCATGCATCAAAGAAAAAGGGTTTTGTTGTAGCTGGAGTAATGCCTGATACATCTGTTTAAAAATGAAAAATTGGTATATGTAACTAAAACAGACTTAACAATGAATTTAAGTTGAGTGGAATTTATGGCACTAAAAACTAAGAATAAAAATCTCTCCTATAGATTAACACGATCTTTACTGAATTTGATACCATGTACACCGTTCTCACACCTAACAATTCTGTTGGCAGGGTATGCATGAAATCCTTGCCCCATTATTGTTCGTGCTGCATTGTGATCATCAGGCATTGCTACATACTCGAGAGCAAGTAACAGTCAGGTGATTCATCTTTCTTTCTGCTGCCATGTAAATGAAGTATTTATATTATTTGTGCTTTATTTAATGATGCTGTCTCTAGTTCAGACTATACTATCATGAAAATGTATTCATACAGTGTAGCCTAGATAGAAGCTCAGAGATATAAAATAAGGAACATCTTTTAGTGTTCTTGTCTTCATGAGCATTAACTATGTATAATATATATTTGTAAGATTTATTTTTAGAACTTGAATGAATAAAGAACAATACTATATTTATATTTTATAAAGTTTATTAATTTATCTATGTTAATAAGAAGTAATATTTATCCAACTGTGTTGCAAGTAAATGAACAGCTTTGCCAGTAAGTGACCTCAGAATATATTGAAATTTCTATTCCATAATTTTGTTTAATGTTTCAGTGGTGTGACTGCAGAAGTGCTTGACCCAACATTTATTCAAGAAGATGCATAGTAAGTTACAGAATTGTTAAACATTATAGAAAATTCTATACAGTAGGCCTGTTTGTTTTCTTACCTTCAGTGTTAAAGAAGAAAGGCTCTGTGAATAGCAAACTCTTTTATAGGATCTAGAAACCTACACACTAGCAAATGTTTCTCAAGATACATTCGTATACATAAGATTTATAGTGTAAGTCACATGCTGTATTCCATGGAACACATGCAAGCAGTTTTTAGTGGTCCCATGGACAAATTTTTGTAATGGCGAAGATCAAATATGAACACCCACTGAAATAAATTATTTCATATTAAAATATTAAGTATGAGAGCTGACTCTGTTCCCAAATGTATCCTCAAATTTTAGTTCTCATCTGCTGGGAAACACAGATTTAAACAAATCCCTTCAGTGGATGAAATTCTGAAAGTAATTATTATCTTTTGTTGGTTCTGCAGCACAATATTCTGCAGAATCATGTGTGGAATTGAGTCTTGTTACCGAATCAATGATCTCACACCAACCCCCACTGGCTACTTTCCAGCCAACATCCAGTCACCATTTGGAAATGTAAGTCTCACATTGCTTGCTTCAAAAACTAATTACTACTACTACTATCATCATCATCATCACCACCACCACCATACTACCACCAACCTTAAACTTCATGTGTTTTCTAGGGTTCTCAGAATCAGTCAGAGAATGAGGTGGTTGCACAGCTGAACTGGATTAGGGATAATCTTTTGGCCCCCGCTGACCCACAGTTGTACGAACATTTGCAGCAATTAGACATTCCTCTTCCTCTGTTTGGAATGTGAGTACATGTGAATGTAGGAACATAGTAATTTTTGAGTGCTAATTAATATATTTATTTTAAGGTGCAACTGTATTTAATGTGCCTTCATTCAAGCTGTTTTCCTTATTTAGCATTAAGTTTTAATGATATCAAGTGATTAATCTTAGTATTAACCTTCACAGGCTGTATACCTATATGCTGAGATATTAAATTGTAGACATAGAAATACTGTCAGTCATGTGCCATTGCATGCACATGATCCAGCTGATTGTATGGTCTTATGTCACAGTAATATATCTGTAAACCATTAAACCATGTAGCTGAAGTGTGGCTGGCAGAACCTTAGTTTGGTGGTTTACATCTCCTATTTACATAAAATAAAGGTTAATTAGCATCTGTAAGAGGTCAAATATCATTCCGTCATCGTGATGTAAATATCTGTTTTTTTTTACAGACGTTGGCTGCGTCTTTTGTTTGGAAGAGAATTTCCATTACAAGACCTGCTGGTACTGTGGGATGCCATATTTGCAGAAGGAGAAAACTTTGAGTTGGTCAACTATATAGTAGTGGCAATGCTCATAGCCATCAAGTATCAGTGTTAGTTCTGCTACTATTTGATTATAATAAATAGAACTTGAAATAAATAATTTCTTAGGTTCTGTGTGACTGATCTATGTTGAAGAAGCAAATGATCGATCTTTTTTTTATTTAGATGAGCTTTGGCTTCAGAGGGTTAATACTTATGTTTGCAACAACATATTTCTAGATTTTCTTTAGCTGGTATCAGAAAATACTTGTTACTTATTAAAATACAATTATATCCCTCCATTTGTCATGCATTATGTGCGCTGCATATTTGTTTTTCAGTGCTGAATGGGGACTATACAACCTGTATGACATACCTCATGCGATACCCCGGAGCTGTGGACATAACTTACATTATTGAACATGCACTCTTTCTCAGGGATCCACAGGTAGATACAAATGTTTTCAAGAAATTAAAATGTATTTACCACTACTTTCATGAAACAAGACATTTTCTTATCCATTTTAGTCTCCAGCCGTATATTTTTTCATGCCTATGACTGTGCCATATAATATGTAACAAAACTGAATAAAATACTGTGGTAAATTTTGTTTTACTTCACAATCTCTCAGTATATGTTTGCCTCCCAAAAACGAAAGAAAACTATGTAACACTGATAACAATGGCTTCTTGGTGAGATAGACATTCATCTATATTTGTATTTCTTTGCATATTCTGATGCAATAAAAAACAACTCTTCCAGTAGTTGGCCTTTGATCTTTGCAAATGGCAGTGAACTTACCAGCATGGGAAAAACACTTGTAGCCTTCATGTAAAGTGTCTGTTATTGTCCAGTCTTAAGCAAAACTTGAATGGGTCAAACGTTACTAAATCTCCCCAGTATCGAATCTGTCCTCAAAGTGTTACATGTGCATAGATGGACAGAGTGATTTCAGTAGGTACTCCTAAAATGGATACAGTTAATGTTAAGAAAATAATCGCTGTTTACAGAAGTATTGCTTGCCTGCAATGACGTCTTTCCCAAAACTGCCTATGGTGACAGTTGGTGGCAGGACAGACCTGAACCGCGCTGCTGGACAGCATACAGGTGTAGCAGACAAGGAGCTTCCTAAGAAGGTTTCACAAACATCACAAGGGGCCTCTCTGTCTGGCAGGTAGGTGCTTAACATTTACCTGTAAGAATGTAATCAATGGACATAGTAGTGCGAAACTAGTTGCAGCAAACCATTTTCTTAAATACACTGTAAAAATAAAATAAATCATTTTAATACTGTTTTCTAAAATAATTAAACTGTATAGGGAATGTTGTGGCGCCTTGTCACCACGATTTGGAGCATCCTAAGGTACCTGCTTTGAATTGTAATCAGAATCAGCAGTCTTCTGATACACTTTTCAGGATTTTCTTCAGACTAGTTACAGGAAAATACTGTAAAATGGTCTACAGGCCCATCCTTATCTCATGCAACTTAAAATCATGTTAATCCTAACTCCATGGAGCAGAGTCCTAGAGAAGCTGATGGTCACTCAGCTAATTGAAAGATTACTTGTTATTTATTTATAGAACTTGAAATTCATCATGGACCCTATTGACAGTGAGATGAGTCCAGTCCATTGCCTCAACATACTTATCTAAACTTTTTTACTTATTATTATTATTTAACTTCACTTACTATAGAAGTGTTAGATCATCACATGTTGTCATTTTTTAATAAAATTACTTTGTTTTTCATTTTGGCGGTAACCACATTATATATTATGGCTATGGGAAATGATATGACATTGTAACCTGTAAATTGCTTTTGAATTTTCTTTTCATTTGTAGGTTGAAGAAGCTTTCAAAAAGGCCAGATCATTGGCTAGGTGGCAAACATACTCAGAAAGGTGGAACCACTGGTGGCAGGAGTGATGCTGATGCCACCATTGTTGATGGATACACGCTTGATGTATGTAATCACCTTGTATCATGTCACATCATGGCCATAACTTCACAGGCAGGACCAGAAATAAGCATCTGTGTGCCAAGATTTTGAAAGGCCAGTAAAATCACAGAACAAAGGATTATTTTAGTATAAAGCAGAACCTCGTTAGGTTTCGACTTGACCAATTATTTGATATTATAAGGACTTCTCAAGAGTTACGTGCCATTGGAAGATCTAATATAACTGACATTTTTTCTGTTATTAGGTCCTCCACATACATTTTGAAATCATTTCATAAAACATACTTGAGTCAAAAGTTTACCATAGTTCCCAATCCATTATGTTAACTAAAAGTCATGCAGATAGGGAAAAATTGTTATTCTTGGTAAGAGCCGATTGTATTCAGCAGGGTTTACATTATTATCTCTGTAAAGAGTAATAGCTTTACAGCTGGCCTCAAGAACACACTGTTCAGTGCTTGACATTACATACCTGATATTTGAAATTATAGTCGTCATTTAATTACATTAAAATTACTGTTAATTCAGCCATTTTGAAGCTAAAGAGGTGTCCCACCTCATGCCGTGGAGGACCTCAGGGTAGAGGAGAAATATATTTAAATATTATAGCTTGAGGTATTAATATTATTCATAAAGACAGCTCATGTAATTTTGATTAAAACTGCCTTTCAATTATATTACTGTTTATTTTTATACATTTTATCCTATGTAGGCCAGGAAGAGAAGACTCGGAGATTCATACACCACAGTTTGAGAAACATTAAATGCCAGCATGTTTGCGTAATTGCCTACACCATAGACTTGTATGACAATTGACGTATGTAATGTGCAATGTTGACAGGATCCTGCTTTGCTCAGAGCAGAAGTGCAACACGCCCATGCCATCATGTCTCTTTGCCGAATGAAGCTGCTTCAGTATCATTCTTTATTGCAACGCAGTTTTCCTCCCACTGCCAGTGCAGAAGCTATGCAGGCAGTAGATGGATTACAAGAGGTTAGTTACTCTATTGTCACTTCTCATTTGTTATACAGAGCACTGCACTGCACTGCACTGCACTTGGGGGAGATGAGAAATTGGTGCCAAATTTTGTGTTGAAAAGCTTGAAGGGAAGAGACCACTTTGAAGAAGTAGGCATAAATGGGAGGATAATATTAAAGTGGATCTTAGGGAATCATATAGCACAGGATAGAGACCAGTGGTAAGTTCTTGTGAACATGGTATGAATCTTCAGGTTCTGTAAAAGGTGGAGAAATTCTTTAGTAGCTGAGCACATTATTACTGCGCATCATACGCATATGCACACATATACGAGGTGCGATCGGAAAGTTTCCAGACTGCGCCTATATATATATATATATAAAAAACCCGTACACTTATCTCAGGTATTAAATTCATCCATCACCCTCGAAGTAGTTCCCCTGGGAGTGAA